GTCCTGTATCCTGAATAAGACGGGTTTTTTTCCATGTAGGAAAGGATATAAAGTCTCAAATATGTCCCTTTCTTTCCTTAACTCCCCTGAAATCACCAGTGCTGCTCAAATAGAGGGTCGTGATCCAAATATGGCTTACAGACACAGCCGCTCTCTAGTCCTCCGACTCAAAACTAAAGCAGAATATTTAAAAAAAGAAACTTTTGCAATTTTATTTAAAAAAATAGTATTTTAAAAATTGCTGTTATCCATGGGTTGATTTATTTACTTGTTGCCAATTTTGTAATTTGGTGTTTTTCAGATCACCAAACCCTGAAGATCTGGCATTTGATAGTTTTCCAGTTCAAGTCTGTAATGTTGGGCCACCTCTGGTGTGATGCAGCGTACATTAGGCTCAGTACATAAAAGATGTGATGCTGTAATAGTCCTTATGTAAATATAATATGTGAACAGATCACTTTGGGCCACGTTGGTTAAATATAGGTATCACTGAAAGTGGTCTACATTAGGATCAGATCTGTTTTCAAACTCACTTTAGGCCACATTTGGCAGCTTGTGGTACATGTGGCAAACAGGAGTGGACCACCCAGGTCAAGTGCAAAAACTGCATGCTGTATGTGAGTGAAAATACATTTCAGTAGCACTGAATATTTGTGCAGAAATATTACATGCATTAAGTATTGTTTGGTGTTGAGGAACAAGAAACCAAGTGTGAACTATATGTATACACAGTATAGGTTGTAGTAGTACTTCAACAACAGAAATATCCTGAAACCTTGGCTTGGGAACGTCTTTAGACATCCAACCCAAACTCTTGCCCACACTGTACTCTTACAGTCCAAGTACAGCCACCTGGAGCCCACATAGACGTGCTGGCTAGGCTCCACCTTCAAACTGTGAGATGTGTGTGGCTTATGTTACACACAGTTTTTCCTCCCTTTAAAAAAAATCCACAACCCTTACAAGAACCTAAGACTAAAGCAATGATATGGACAATGACTGGGATTCAGAACTGGCAGAAGATCATTAGCTCTGTTGTCTGGGAATCTCACCGTGTCTACTGTGTGTGACAAAAAACATGAGGTTGACGCACAACACAAAAGACTCTTTGGACGCTTCACCACTGCTGGCAGGCTCGGCCTTGTGTCTGGAGATTTTCAGAAGTTTGCAAAACTTCCTAACTGCAGTGTCAGGAAAAGAAAAAAAAATAAAGCCATGTAGAGGGACAGACAGACACAGTGTATGCTGTTGGTCTCAGGGACAGTTTCGAACTAAATGGGGCAATTTCCTTTCAACAACACAATTTTACTCAAATGGCAAAAATGAGAAACAGTAGTCGACAGTTAGTCAGACATACGAGAGAATAACAACGCTCGTAAAGATGAAAGCCTTTTGAGAACGCCAGACTTAAACTGTCAGCTGTAAAAAGTGGGAATAGTCCACAGAGTTGGAGTCAATGTGGCAAGGCAACTGTCACTTGTAGTTTCTTAAGAGAGTCAAGACATTCAGATTTATGGACATATGGATCTGTTCTTCTTAAATCCTCAAAAATGGAACAAATTTGAACTTTCAGTCACATTTGTTCTAAAATGTCTAGGGCAGCAGCGAAGTGGTTTTGAGTCTGGAATAATTTAGAATGTCTAGTGATTGTCTAACTTTAACTTAGCTTCAGCTATCTTCTTGGATAACCTGTCTAACTATTTCTGAGGGTCTTTGCCAATGTTCACATAGTTTTGTTTTGCCTTAGTTCTTTGATCGATCTTTGTTTTTGTTCTTGGGTATTATTGGAATCTTTTTGTGCATTTTTTTTCTGTGCATTTTTTTGTACCTATTATACATAGCTTTTTATAACTAGCTACCATATTTTAGCTTCTACCTATCCCATGTGAAATTACACAACATTCTTAACCACATTTTTACCATCACAAAACGTTAAGTATTAGAAGTATTAGTTAAACAGACATCCATTCTGTTCTTGCTCACTCATTCACATGTCACCATCACACACACCAATAATCCATACTTGACATCATGCAGTGACCAGAATGTTCTGTTTCAACCCACTGATCCCTTTGTACCAGTGTGTACGCAGCATTTCCTCTCAGTCTTACCATCACAAAACAGAGGGAAGTATTAGTTAAAGATGAGATTTAAAGTAGGTAAAAGTAAACAAAAACCTCCAGGTAACAGGGTAACAGTCAGCAGAAGGTAAACGGCTACACCTTTATAACATGTTTATAACAATACTGTTGAAAACGTTCAGGCTCATTTGGTCCACACTAAATCCTGTGCCTTCACAGTGTACAGCAGAGTGCCACATATAAACCCAGACCCCTGTATTTAAGGCCCAAACAGCAGAGATGTGGAGCAGCCATGAAATGAAGGAGGTGGAAGTCAGTCAGGTTGATAAACAGTTCCAGTTTTCAGCTCTCTTCTCCAAACTGTGACTTCACCATGGAGCGTTGTGTTTTTTTTTCTTCTTCACAAAAATGGTTCAGCATGACTCAGTAGCACAATCCAAAAAGGAAATCTGGCTCCAGAAATGTTTAAAGTGCGGCTAGCAGGAGAGAGTGACGCATGTAACATGTGAATCTCAGTGCCTATGTAAACTACCTGGAGAACGGTAAAAGAAAAAATTTAAATTAGTCTCTTAGTTATTGATTTATAAGTACATTTTGTCAGTGATTGAGTAATTCCAATGAAAGAAATGTTGCCTTAGTCACTGACATTGTAAAACAAACAAACAAAAATAAAAACTCTTTGTACCTTTCTCTCTCTTTTTAAAAAACAAGAAATAAAACAATTCTCCATAATGTAGACGTATCTGAAGGTACTGTGTCCTTGTCCTCTCTTCCAGTCGTCGTCCTTTATTGCACTTCTTACCAGTTTATTTAGTTTCTCTTATGCCATCAAATGAATCCTTTTGGTCCAAAACTAACAAAACTGCTCCCTCACAGTAAAACCCTTTTTGGAAGTCGATTTCAACATTTTCAACCGTTGTCCAAAGTGTTGCTCAAGCATGCAGGGATTTAATCTATACAGAAAAACTAAAAGCAACAAGTCCTGCAGTATTTACACTCCAGTAAAAGTATGTTGTATCACACAGTTACTCCACATCTCCAGTTTTTCTCCAAGCCTTCTGCTTTCACTTTTACTGTGACCAGTATACTATATTATCACTCTGTTTGCAGGAATATTTCTCACTCATATATAACTATTAGTTTTAGATGTTTTAGACACATTCCAAAGGTAGATAAACAATAATCTGTGTTGCACGTCCTTAAAGATTGCTAACACCTAGCCACGCTCTTCTGATTGACACCAGTCAGTCTGACTAGCTGGTGTCATTATTGTTCTTCATTACTGATACCTTTTTCTACAATACTGCCTCTTGAAAAAAGTGGAGCCACTCTAATGTATTTTCCATTTATGTTGGCCAAAAATGAATCTTTAAAGTTTTACAATCACTGACATCTTTTTATTGGCACGTCTTAAATTTAGACATTTGGAATTCCCACAGACAGAAGAATGTAGTCTAAGACAGGGCCATATGCTCTTCAAACACAAAACTTGACCAAATGTTAAGGTAAGGTTTATTCAACTGCAATATGTAACCCCACCACTAGAAGTTGCTAAATTCCACAAATTGTACCTTTTAAACAGGGGTAGGAAAACCTTTTGTCTTATGGGTCAAAATGAGCTTCAAAATTTGACTGGCCGGATTAGAAAGCCCAGCGTGCCGTATCTGGCCCATGGGCCGTAGTTTGCCCAGGTCTGCTTTAAACACTTGTGCTAATTAATCACCCTATAATTTCTCTAATTCGTTGTAGTAGTTCTTTGATTTAATTTTGAATAACTTATTGGAGCCTGCTGGCGACAGTGGGACTGTCTATTGAAGTAAGTTAATATTAAAGATGGCTGCTTGACATAAAGTTGCTATTCACATCATCCGTATGGGATTCCTAGTCGTTTGTGTCTGTTTTAAAAAGTTGTACAATGGCTCAAACCAATAACACTCCCAAATTCAGGTTTTTCTGATTTGGCCGGTTTAACTTTGAATAATGATGAAAAGGAAGGATAATCTTATTTAGTCTCACATCTAGTCTCAGATATTCTGTCACTGGAATTTGACAACTAAGGCACAGGATGAATCGCTCCAAACTTGTTAACACATAATCTCCTCTAATAAAACTATTTTCTTTCTTTAATAATTGCAATTGTTTTTGCTCAGGGGCCGTTGACACGTTGTGGTAAAATTTTATCAGTGAGTTTTTGTGCCTGATTTAAACAAGATGTAAATGATACACATCGGTGTTACAGATGTAGCAACGCTGCATCGCTGACATCCATCCAGTCTGTTCTTGCTCACTCATTCACATGTCACCATCACACACACCAATAATCCATACTTGACATCATGCAGTGACCAGAATGTTCTGTTTCAACCCACTGATCCCTTTGTACCAGTGTGTACGCAGCATTTCCTCTCAGTCTGAGGTGGAACGTTACAGGTAGTAATTTACAACAACATCTGAGTCTCTGCTGTGGCTGCTCTTTACACAGGAGAGCTTCGTGAATTGTTCTGGTAGTTTTGTGGGGGCAGTGGAGAAACCAGCGGGGGAGCGAGGAAACTGTGGAAAACATTCAGTCTGATCCGTGTGCACTATTAATCATTTAAATGCAACGCAGTGGGGTTTCCAGTGTAACTTTATGGACTGACACGCCATTATTTAAATCAAACAGGGACTCGAATTATGTGACCCTCCACCAAAGTACAGTCTCTAATATTTGTAGGTTTTATATGAATGTGATTTTTTTAAAACAAACTCTTCCATCCCAGAAGCATTTTATTTCTAGGAGAACAATCTTTTGAAGCACATACTTTAATTTTTTTTTAATAAAAAAGTCACATTTGTTTTGGCTCGCCATGTCATTGCGTCACATTAACAGAGGTTTATATCTGATGGGGTGAGTTGGGGTTTGTTGAATCAGAATCTGCTACTTTAAACAAGTGAATATTTCTTGGGTGACATGATGCACAGTGTCAGTGAAGGGATGAACAAAGACAAACTTGTTTACTTCCTCTCTTATTTGCTGAGAAGTTGCTCGATGTCGGCCTGGTCTCCTGGCTGCACATGTTTACTGCCAGCTTTATGTGGCATTAACAATGCTTGTCAAAGTGATGTAATCAAACCCTGGTCACTGACCACATGTTTATTTGAGCTGTTGGATTTCAACACAACCCGAATTTTCCCAAATCACTGAGCCTGGAATGCAGGGCTAAAATTATGTATATAATTTGATGCAAGACAGTTGTAACAGGAGAAAAGTGATTTACTTTGACTTACCTACAGTTACGCTGAAGAAATTACATATGAAGAATTTTGCTTCCTCATTTCTCACGGTTTCTTTTTCATTTTTTTCCTGAGATGCAGTCGTTTGGTAATGACTTCCATATTTTTCCCCTCTTTTCCCTGAGTTAGCTGATGGGATAAGTGGAATAGCAGCACACAGGGAAGATGTGTTGTACTGATTTACAGGAGCGTAAAAGTTCTGTTATTCTTCTGAAAGCAACATACATTTGTACAAATTGGACATTTGGAGGGAGAAACCGAATGGCAGTATCAAATTAATAGATACATTTTGACAGTTGAAGAAGGCAATATGAATATTGTGTAAGAAAGAGACAAAAGTGAGAGGGAATTCTCTTCAGAAGAGGAGGAGGAGGAGGAGGAGGAGGAGGAGGTGGAGGAGGAGGAGGAGGAGGCGGTGGCGGAGGAGGTGCGTTGGGTCCCTGGGCACAGAAGGTGCTGCAGCACAGTTAAAGCCTCAGTAACTGGACTGTGTTTTTCCGCATTGAGGGATACTGACGTTGAATAGTTGAAAGTTTCAGCTGAAGCTGGTAATAGGTTCACAAATTAATATCTCTCACTTTCGAACTCACCCAAAGACAAAGTCTGACACCGTAAAGGGGGGAAATTAACCTGGTACCACCCAGTACACCCAGGGCACACTGCCTTCTAGTAAAGTTTTATTTTCTTCATATTTTATTGCACTCTCATTTCAGGATCCAAAAGTTGGTTTGCAACCATAAAAAAGTTGGGTCAAGAGACTGACCGTTAGTACGGTTAATCCCAGTATTATCCAGCCCTCCAGCAAAAGTGTCTCCTCATTTTAAAACATGGAAATCTCCACACTAAAAATAACTTAAAGATTGCTCCATTTATTAGTCTCCTTTAATGCTCTGCCAACTCCTTTTGGTTTTCACTGTTTCAGGAACCAGTTTAGATAATTAGATGGTAAATGTACTTACCAAATTTCCCGGACTACAGGTCGCTCTGGAATATAAGTCGCACCAGCCAAAAATGCATAATGAGAAAGTAAAAAAACAAACATATAAATCGCTCCAGAGTAGAAGTCACACTAGTGCCCTCTAAAGGCTGTCAGTGTGAAAATACCGAACATGTACATTTTCAGTGGTACAGGAGTAGCAGATACTGGTACACAAGCTTAGAGTGCCCTCTAGCGGCTGTCAGTGTGAAAATAGCAAACGTGAAATTATACTTTAACATATAAGTCGCAAATCCAACCAACGGATAAAAAAAAGTGCGACTTATAGTCTAGAATATATGGTCATTATATTTTTTTTTTTTCAAAAAGCTTTTACACCGCTCTATCAGTACAATATTGTACTTACAGGTACTGGTACCAAAGTATGTAAAAGAAGAAAGTATTCAGGGTATGAACAGATTTAAGATAAGTGATCAAGAATAAAGGTAATTAATTTCTCCTGAAACATTTGTGAATCGGTTCACTGCTTCAGAATTCATCCTCTAAGGCAGCACTGTTCACGGCTGAATGCGAGTTCATGTCAGGGAGAGAAAATCTGGCACGATATGAAAGCGAGATAATAAAAGTGCGATGCTTTGACCTTTTCCTTTTACGTTAGTCAGGCAGGTGACCGTCCTGCTGACATACAAACCACATGACCTGAAATCCAGGTTCAAGCACAGAATCACAGAGGATGTATTTAGTGGTTTGGAGACTGCAGTGGACGTTACATTTGAGGACACTCTGATTCTGCGACTAGAAAAACTTTATAGAAAGCTAAAGAGTTTAACAGTATCCCCTAAGTTTTGTGTGGAAACAACAGAATCTGAGTTAAAATGTAGTTTCGTTTCCACATGTGCTGCAGGTTCTCCAGTTGTTGAAGCACTTTAGGAAATAAACCCAGTCATAAAAACTAAGGAATTTGCTCATCGTGGAGGTCGATGCTGATGTTCTATCTGTGTGTGTCAGTGAGAGGCTGAAGTTTTTTGGGGTTTTTTTTTTTGCTAAAGGTTAACGATCCACAGAGATGTGCTGATACTTGATGGTTTAAGACCAGATGCCAAATGATCATCTCATCCCTTGCACCTTGGCTTAATGGAGCTGAGTCAGAGTCAGAAAAGACTGGGTAAAGACTGCATTTAGATGTCGTTTTTTTTTCTCTTCATGTCACAGATATGAATGCTAAACCCTAAACTCTACAGCTTTGACACCAGAGTCCGGACCACATATAGAGTTTTAAAATGCCTAATTGAAGGATTAGTAAATTGGAATCAAGTATTACTCAGTAATCTGGCACCTTGTACTCCACGCTCCTGTTTTACTCATTTGCCCCTGAGACTCCACACGGGCTTCGTGTTGATTTATTGAAGTGTTAGAAACTCGCATGTTTATGCCTTGCACCCTGGATGACACTATCAGCTGCTAATCCGTATTTCCGCCGATGTCTGCACTTTGCAGTCCAGAAAAGTCAAGTACAGAGACACTGATTTCTCCCTCTGTGGCCACATCTGGATATTTCACCAGTGACTCAACAGATTTTCATCCACATTCATCATTGATTACCTTGTAAGAGAAAGTTAACTGCGAGTGGTTGCCCGGTTCATGTTGACTGGCCAACGACTGGACTCTGTGGCTAATTAGTCGTCACAGCTGCGAAGCAGCAGGGAGACCGTTTCTCACCTTTGTGCTTATGCTGTTTCCACATGTGATGTATGTGAGCTGGACTCACTGGACTCCTCACACAGCTGAATGCATAGAATTAATACAGTACTTTTCACAAACTGATGTTCGACTCACTTTCTTTATGCATAATCCCTTAATTATCCTAAAATCCGACGCCTTTGAATCATCTATGCTCACTTTCAGGGACTCTTCCTGTAAAAGAATAGCAAACCTAAAGTACACACGGCAGCTGGCGAACTAACAACCAACATCTCTGTGCAAATTTAAAGACCTCCAAGTATCACTCTGTTAGAACAGCAGTTTTTGACATATGCACAAATACCCTTCCCCCCTTCCCTTGACTTTGAGTATCACTGAGTTTATGAAAACAAAAAGCAGAGCTCCTCCGAGGTCTTCAGGGGATTATTAAAGTGCATGTGTCTCAGGATTTATATTTTGGTTTTCTTTGGATGATTTTTTTAACTCAGGCGTAGAACCAGTAAGCTGCTTATCTGTCATGGCTCTTTACTGTTTTTGAGTTGAAATGACACTGAAAAAACAAAAAAAAAAAAAAAAAAAACACGTCTAGCTTGTTCTGAACTTCGTCTTCCCAAATGGTGACTCGCTGCTCTGTTCTGCGCTGTTGTCCGTCCAGTGACCCAGTTCTCAGTAGAGCTAGAGACAAGATGTTCCTTCTGACAAATTAAATGATAAAAAATGTAGAAAATATCAAACTCTGGACCAGACTGTGTGGTGAAGATGGGCGGGTGTGGCTATTGTTGAGATCACTTCTAAGCATAAACACGTCATTCTTCTCTGGTGAGATCAATGCAGGGAGCGGTCTCGAAACTACCTCACACTGACGACAGACGCCTGTTTACTAACCGACCGACGCATAGTTTTCTGAATCTTTGTAGCCGTGAATCCAGTTGTTCTGCTACCAGAAACTGCAAACTACTATTAATACTACTACTACAAACTATTTTGTGTGTGTGTCGATAGAGATAATCTTAGGGCAGGAGCCGAGTGACGTTTGAAACTTTATTCAGTTTAATAATTACAGCTTTGACAGGAGATCAATTTAGAGAGAATTAAATAAACAAAATGGTTTAAATCGTAAAAACATTACATCAAAGAAAACAACCAGTGAGTGACTTTTATTACAAATACTGAGGTAAACGTCAACATGTCAACCTAATATGAACGACCACAGACTCCTGAAGGAAAGAACCAGCCTCCTTCTAATACCAGTTAACACAGAGAATGATCTTTGTTTTATGATCAGCATGTGGTTCCCTCAGTGACTCCATAAACTGTGAAGACAGTGACTTCAATCCAATTTCTGACGGCATTAACAAACTGAATGGCGTTGAGATTCGCCAGAGGTGAAAGAGTTTATTAGCTGTGAAAATTAACTATTAATTTTTTTTTACTGCCTCTTCAGTTTGAGATGAATCTGATTTGAGTGCTACTGTAATTATATCAGCCACATAAAACCGATCACAAAAAAATAATGTTCTGTAAAAGCTACAGAGAACCGATTACATGATAATCAACATGGACTTAAAAATCAGACTTTATCAATCTTTGTTTATTTACAGACAGAAACAGAAGAGTTCAAAGTGACATTTGTTATAACAGATGAGAGAACAGTCGTTTTACAGCTAAGACAATAAGACCGGGCGTTTCACACGGACAGTAGAAGCGTGTCTGTGTGTTTGGCAGCCAAACAGGTTGCACCCAGTTGAAGTCATTGCTTGTGGACTGATCTGTGAAGTAAGATTTATATGGAGTGACAAAGTGAACGAGTTATGGTATACTGTATGTTCCTCCCGGTCATACATTATATGCATCAGCTGCAAGTGTTTTCCAGGAAATATGTTGTGTAATTTCCTGCTAACAGCTACATTATGGTAATGATTCTCACACTGAAGTGGAAGGTCATTTAAACCACAATTGTCCTTGGATATCCGAAAAAAAAAAAAAATTGCTGTGACCACATAATAATGAAACGTTTAACCATTTGTGTCAGATTTAAAATGTAATATCAAAGTGGCAGTGGACTAAAATCCTCATACCATTTGGAAATTTAACCCACACACCCAATTTACACCGTGATGTAGCTCAGGACATTTTGATTTAGTAACGCTTCAGAATCTGTTCATACAATAGGCACAGATCCTGATGCAGCGCATTCATTATTAACGTTGTACGTGACATCATTGTGCATTGATTGGTTGTAAGGAGGCACGATAGATCGATAAGTAAAAACCACAGGGAAAATATTGATCAATCATGTGCAAACTAAGGCTTGGGGGCTGGATGTGGCCCATACAGCTTTTTAACCCGGCCCACCAAACCTTTCCAAATTATATAATTTCTTTATATTGTCATTATACTTCTGCCTTTTTCCTGCAATACCCATGTTTCCCCAATAGAGGGCGCAGAACACAATAAATGTATTTTAGCATTTTAGCCTTTATGTATGACTTTTGTCATATGTTATTGATCTGAGTTCACACGAACACATCTATCTGCTCCTGACCCGGCCCCCCTGTGAAAATTTAGACCCGATTGTGGTCCATGAGTCAAAAAGTTTGCCCACGCCTGTTTTAGACAGATGTGTGTACAAACCTCTGAATCTAGCACAGTGGTCACGGTGGTTCAGCATCACAGAGGAAAAGCTTTGTCCTAATGGTCCATGTGTTTCTTCTTTTAATAACCAAATTGTTGTCAATTCTTAAATAACTCCTTCACAGTAACTGTATTATCGTATACCGATGACTGTATGCTGCTAGGTGTCCAGTGCTACACATAGCCACGCAGGTGTCTGAGTATGTCATGTCCCACTGTTTTAGGGTTCAAACAGTGTCAACTTCCCATCCAGGCTCCCAGTCAGCAGCTGGGAAAGATAAGAAACAAACATGGTATTACAGTCGGATATTTGAAGTATCATAACACACTCTCTTCTTTTTAAGACGCCCTTCTCTGAGGGGGGGAGGGGGGGGAGTAATGGAAGAAAAACACATCAGGAGAGTCAAGATTCACGGTGTGAGTCAAATTCTTGATTTTCCATACCGACCATTTATCAGAGACAACAAGAAGCTGCCTGTCGAAAACCCAGTTATATAACTCTATTTGATCCAATGTGGTGCTCCAAGTTCCTGCCAGTGCTTGTCATGGTGAAGCAACAGATTAATAAAGCCCACGCATCGATAAACCCAGTTAATCACACACATGTGCAAAACACGCTCACAAACAGAGAGAAGGAGAAAACAAACATGAATACCTATTCACTCCAGTTAGTCCTGAGGATTATTGAGTAGACGACAGAATGACGCATTAGCTTAGCTCTCTACTTGGAATATATATATACATCAACACAAAGTTAATATTAACATTTGAGAAGTGACTTAATGATCAAGTGAATAATGTTTTTATAGATGTAGACAATCTGTCCTCCCTGGTTAAATGAAGGTTAAATGACTAAATAAAAGTCCTTAATATGAACCAGATAAAAGCTCAAAATAAACCATTGTCGTCAACACCCTAATTTGATAACTATGTTTCCACTCATTCAGAAAGAACTTCCAACGGGAGGTCAAATGAGGCGCTGCAATTTTGTTACAGCCCTGAATAGAATCAACTATTAGGCTCCATCACACAATGTTTGATTGACATAGACCTGTCCTGTAGGTCTGAAGTGTATCTTATTGCTAAGGCAAGACCTTAAAAATAAACAATGAAACAAGTTTCTACAATTTAGTTTTAGTTGTTTAGTGGAACAAATAATGTTACACCTTCAAGGCATCTTAGTTAATCATAAAGATACAGGCTCTTTTACAGGATTTTCCAAGCAATATAAAAACACATTGGTTCTATTTTGAGTTCAACATTTTTTCCTATGTAGTAAAAGTACTTTTTGCAGGAAAAAATCCCATCTTTTACCAGCAAACTAATGCCTTTGCTGGGAAAAAAAACAGATCTGGTCCTAGCATGACTCAAACATTACAATAACTAAACTGGGCTGGACTTGATCATGCACTGATTGGTGCTTCTTGCCGCCTCGCTCTTATAGAAACAAAGAGGATTTTTACAGCAGTAGTAAAAAGAAGCAACAGCAGACAAGTAAATGTGTTTCTCCAGTTTACCCGCTCTATAGAAACTCCAAAGAAACAAATATTTTGACAGGTCGTTTCATGAGCTCTTCCCTCTTAAAGAAGTCTCCTTTCACCATGACCTCTTGTTCAATGACCTTAATGAACAATGGCAGAGCTGTCTGGGTTCTAGCCCTAGGCTGCTGAAAGAGCTGTTTAGAACTTAAAGGGTCAGAGAGCAGTTCCATTGGCAACCAACGCTTTCCTCACCCCAAACCATCGAAAATCATTAGACTGTGTAATCAGCTGGAACTTTTAAGTCCTTCTTGACGCAGCAGAGTGGAATCGACAAAAATCATTGTTTGTCTTAAACTGTATGATGGTGATAACGTGGAAGGAATTTCCAAGTTGTTTATTGCAGCATATACTTTGAATCAAACACATTCCATCTCTGCAGCCATCCATCTCTGTTCACTCAGGCTGAAGCTGAAGTTAAGCCCTATGTTTTGGGTGACCCTCAGGGTCAAAGGTCAGAATCTGCTGGGATTCTGGATCAGTGTCGAAGTACAGCAGAGGTCATGCTGGGCCATCAATTTTCTACCTCTAAGAACGTTCTCTCTTTTCTTGAAAACGAATGTAAAACATTGCGTTTAATATCAGTGTTAATGCAAAGACAAAAAGGCCAAGAACCATTTTCTATTGGCCAATGCCCTTCCTTATCTCATGTTCATGCTATGAAAACATGCAATCATTTTATTTATTACGGTCGACGTCACAAATCACATCTCATTTAGCACCTCTTTTTTATGAGCACTGAGAATTGTAAGTTTTGCTGAGAAACAGCTTGCTGTGTCACGACTGTTACATAACGGCAGTTATTAATGGCGTCTCAGTAGCAGGAGAACAGCCATAAATCGCGGGTTCAAAGCAGAATGATGATTAAGAACGCCGCGTGGATTCGATTTTCCAGACGGTTGACAGCGAGCGTCTGTCTGCGAACGAGTTGAAAATGTAAGCTTTGCAAATGCCAACATACCAGGATGTTCTGTGCTGTGCATGTCAGACAGGTGGTGAGGATGATTACTGATGAAGGAATAAGGGCAGCGAGTCGAACAGTCAGATAAATGTTAGACCTAACGGCCATTTCTCTGATAAATGCATTTTAGATGGTAATTGTTTGTTGACAGTTCAAAATGCAATTAAAGGCAAAATCTGTAGGTTGACACTGGAACTTTTTTTCATGAGGAAAGTTGACATTTTTATCTCATTTGCTCAACATATAAGAAAATCTCTGAGGGTTTAAAAACTCAGAGAAAAAAAAATTAATCTCTCATCTCTTGACAAAAGTAACACAAAGGTTAGACACATTTTCCAGCAGTTCATCTTTCTGGGTGTGGAGGCAGTCCTCAGCTCTAAGCCCAGCTCTAAGCCCCTGGATACATCATCTCTGACAGTCTGAGTGGAGGCAGTCCTCAGCTCTAAGCCCCTGGATACATCATCTCAGTACATGTAATGCAGAGAAATGCAGACACACAATTGCTCCATGTGGAATGTTTCTGAGAGAAAAGATCAGGTTCTTCGCAGGAATATTTCGTTTAATTATGCTATGAACCCAGTGGCCTGTGGATTGTAGCTAAGCAACAGTTTGAAGAGTGATGTCGTCAGGAGACGGGCATGGTCTAGGTTTGAGACTCTGTGATGTTCACTGGTGTGACAAAGATGGACTAGACAAAAAATGTCAATAGTGATGGAATAATTTATATATAAAAAAAGGTTAGATTGAACTGATGAAATGATGAGATTGTTTGGATATGTACTGGGAGCAGGAGGAGGAGAGGAGTTTTGGCCAGAACATAATGATTTGTTGAAAACAGGAGACTGATGATTTCCTGTTCACTATAAATGTGAAAATATTTGTGAAAAGGTTTTTTGTAACTCTGCAACTACAGACACACTTGTTTCCTCACTTCCTGGTCATTGTATTAGCAGCTGTGTCCAACGCAGGCCAGTTGAAATTGGCGTTGAGGTTCACAAACTCAGAAAGGTTAGATCTGCGTCCCATGAACTAAAAGATTATCAGGCATGAGTCAGTGGAGTCGGACGTTGTAAACGGCAGAGTAACGGCACACCTGCTGCTGGATGGAGAGTGGTGCTTTCCACAAATGTTCCTACCATTACCGCTACTATCGTAGTGAGGCAACAGATTAATCAGGAACACATCAATAGGCCCAGTTAATCGTGCACGTGTGCAAACATGTGGTAGGTGAGCGCTCTGTGAAAACCATAGCAGCGGTTGAAAGCACCATGTTTCGGTCTGTCAGTGGAGTTGATGAAAGTGACGCATTTCTTCACCATCAATCATGGGCAAATGAAAAGGAAGGACTTTTAATGATGGGGTTTTTAAGGAGGCTTATGATATACAGCTGCTCAAATGGTTGATGTGAATAATTATTATCAGAACAAGTGTTGACAGCCTTTTTTTCACTTTTTTAAAGGCAGCCATAATTTGTAAGACACATGAAAAAACATCTGAGGCTGCGTCAGCCCCATGTGTGTCTCACTTTAATGTGACATTCTGGACCTGACGGCAGAGTCCGCCTCTGTGTTTGCTGTCTGGACACTAAAGAAAAGAGTATTTTCTTCCTGAGCCATAACTTTGCATCTTGATTTCTCATGGCAGCATCCAAAAGAAGTTAATCGTCTTCTTTAGTTTGTGATTTCAAATAAAGGTTTGTTGCATGTAAAAAAGGGGAACATAACATGTAATGTGTTCGAGAGGAAAGAACGGTAGCTCCCTCTATCTTCTTCTGCAGTAATCAGCAAGAGATTTGAAGTCCTGGTCCATAGGTTGAACCAACTAGTCCTTTGTTTTTGTCCTATGCAGTAACAGAACCCAGTAACCTAAGATGATCCAAAAACGCTCTCTGCCAGCACCGATTGACTTTATTAATTTCCCAGCCATGGACAGAGAGGCAGAGGGGGATTCAAAACTGAAAATTATTATGTTAAAAAATGACTTTTATATCATAGGCTCCTTTAGACCTCAGACAATACATTCAGCTTTGAAACCCATTAATTACCAATTGGATCTCACCTCTTCCTTTGTATCATATCAGACTTGAACTTCTACTGATATATGATGCTTCACTCCTGGTCAAATTTACAATCAAGACATTAAAGGTCAAAGTCAGATCATAGGCGGAAGAGTTGACACAGACTCTACTGAGGAATGCCAATGGAAATTCACACATTTTTAAAAGACCACAAGCCCCAAAAATGACTTGAGGGCCGTTTTATCATTGAAAAAAAAGAAGAAGAGTCCAGGAATAAACCTGTGGGAATTATCCCTGGAGTTTAGGCTTCCTGCTCGATGTCCTTTTGAGTATTTGATTGGAAAACATGAGGAAAAAATGAATGGAAAATATGCAGAGTATTATCTGTCTGCACTGCGCATCAGACGATTCTCACTGCAGTAAATATGGAGAACATCTGGATTTTCTTTCTTTTGTTTAAAAAGGAAGATAAGAACAGGTTGAGGACACTTTCAATCAATATTTTCCTTCATGTCTGGGTGGGAACGGAGCACATGATGAGGATAGACATCGACAAAACTCTCACTGTTGTCACAAAGATTCAAGTATTCAGTAACTCTATGACCAGTAAGTAATTTCCAAAGGTCACGACAAAGTTCTACTTCATGATTTAAACATCTTTGTCTTGGCTACAAACAAAAGAAAAATAGAAAAAAAATAGAAAAGCTTCCATCCCTGTCTGATAATCCATAAACCACAGCAGGATGATTTACAAACGGCCCAGCAGGCAGCGCCAGATGCTTCATTTATCAATAGATGTTCCTTAACACTAACGTAACACTATATATTTATATAGTATATGCACCATATCTATCATCGATTTTTAAAGATATGTGTAAAATAATAAAACAGAATGTTTATTCCCACCTTTCCTGGATCATTTTACAGATTGTAGAGTTCAAAATTCAGGACATAGATGTGTGGTTAGAATATCTATGGATTCTGAAGGTCACAGAAGGTCAACCTTTAACATTTTACAGTGTTGTCTGACCTCATTGTTCCCGAGTGATTGTTCATCAAATACCTTTAGTAGAAAGTATGTCTTTAGTATGTCATCAGTTTACTGCAGTTTTACAATTTTATTTTTTTTGGCCTGACAAAGCATTTTTTTAGACTAGTTTGCTCTAAATTGACTCGCAGTTCTCACAAAAAGGAGATTGTAATACCAGAGGTGAGACAATCTCTCCCTGACCTCTGGTACCTGCAGACCCTCTGGTGCCTTTCAGTTTCTTTCCACATATTTGTGAATTTTATGACTTCAATCTAAACAAATCTTAGCAGGTATCTGCAGTATGACACACCCAAACAATAAAAAAATGAATATATCTGAGGAAGGGCAGATATTTGAACATTAGTGATAAAAGTAACCAGATTTCTATGTGAAATTCCATGACATCAGCGTCTTTTCACAGTGATTATACACATTAATAAGTTTGATTCTATTTAAGAAATCTCTTTTCAAGCAGCAGAGAAAGATAAGAATACATTTCTGTTTAGTCTGTGGTGCCAACATTCAAACACAGCCAGGTTTATGTTATTACCAGGGTTTTAATCGTATAACACTGAATGTGGAGATATGATAGCAGAGGGAGAGACTGCCTGTTACTCATAAGGTGTGTCCTAATACTGCAGATCACTTTAATTAGACTGAGCTGAGGTTGAATGCACTGCTTTCAATAATAAGGCTTCAGTTAAAAGGACTACAGATGACAAAGTCATGACACATCGTCCAGCATCAGTGCTGGAACAGTGAGCTTTAACAATCACTGACTGGAAACATGTTGGAGGAAAGTGGAAATACTTTAAGAAAGAAATAATATACGTTTTCCATAAATAATAAGAAATATTCATAAAAAAGAAACTTCACAAACTATTAAACATTTTGTGCTAAATCAAGACAATACAAATTAAGACAATAAAGCGTGATCTGTGCTGTTTTTCCAATGTGAACACAGTGTTGATCAGGTTGCAGTCCAGCCAGGGGCCAACTGGGTCACTTTTTATGTTGCCCCTCAACTCAAACCGCGCGTTATTTATGGCCCACCATGATGATCAAACACAACTAATAAATCACACCAGTCTAAAGTTTTAATTCCTGCCCCGGGAGTTTTACAGCAGCCATAACTACAGCAGTTGTTAATATCTGCTGTTACCAGTGATACTGTACTGTGTTCACTGTCGTGAGATAGAAGAGATTCTATATATTTTTAATTTTGTCACTCGATTTTATTGAATGTTTAAAGTTTTAAGTCCTTATTTTATTTGGTAATTGAACAGATATATTGTTACTCTGTTGTTAGCTCTTCAAAAAACAGTTGACACCCCTGCTTTAGATACCTATTACGGTTTACTTTGATGTGCCAATGTGTTTTCCATTATTCACGTTATAGCAGTTGTTGATAGGACTATTACTGAGCCTTCAGCATCCACACATTCACAGATAATGCTTAAAGTCTGCACTGTGAACTTGAACACTTTAACACCTGAAATGTGACAGGGAATTAAAAGTAACCAAAAATTGACAAATACTATAAATATTAAAAAAAGTTCTTACCTGTGGTGAGGCAGGGTTAAAGGTCACACTGAGCACCGTGTCTGTGCGTTTCTGAAGTTTATGGAGGCAGCTGCTGCTACGGATGTCGTAGACGTACACCTGAAATCAATCAGGAGGAAACATTGAGGTTGAATTACACAGTAAATGTATACGTTAGGTGGATTAAAAAAGATAAATGTTTTTCTGGAAAGATATTGGACAAAAAACAAAAGAGAAACATCTTGAGTTGTTTTGCAGGAAACATTCATTATAATTAACCAGACAGGTTTGCATTTGATATAAATATAAAATTGTGACTGATGAAAAATAACAATTTCCATCAGTAATAAAATGTGCATCGTTTACTGCTTATTATATATATATATATATATATATATATATATTAATATTGTAATAGTACTACGCCTTTTTGATTTCACACTTTCTTGAACATAATGTACAACTCAGAAATCTGTGGAAAATATAAACACCACTTGAAAGTGCTGTGAATGTTTGTGACGAGAGGAAAAGTCATACGACTCGTGCAGCTGTTTTGTTTTATGTTTGTTTGCAAAGTAAGCTCCGTCAAATTGTCCATGGGTAAACTGTCTTCTATCTGGGGCACATGACGTCAGCGGACAGCAAACGGGACCATTAAGTACTTGGAAGAAAAAAGTTCCTTTCAGGAACATTGAAAATGTCACAAAGATTTGAGGATGTGTCATTGTTTTACCAGCAGCTGAGGCTAAAGTCTGCCGTAACGGAGGCTGAGGTTTGACAGTAAAGCAACTTTCCATCTGTTTGCAAGACAACAGAAAACATTAGTCATATCAACTTTAGTAAATGAGATAAAATTATTCCATAGACACTGACCCGTATAAAAGAAGTTGAAATCATATTTCAAAACTGCGTAACATGAACTGAAATGTCTTTTTAAGTATCCGGATTTTTCTTTTTTTTTTTTTCCATAGTTGCCTTTTGATATATGAAGACAAGTATAAATGTGCCTGGCTTATGGAAATCTCATGGCAGCAACAAAAAAAATATGATGAAGTTCACAGTTGAACAACCTCTGCATTTCCACAAAATGTTGGTAATACTGGATCGCAACGCTGATGCTCTCGAATGTCACTGCCGTGCTGAGCCCCAGTTATTAATGACAACCAGTGGCAAGAATTTATACCACCACTATAACAAGCATACACACACACACACACACACACACACATACTGACACCAAGAGTAACAAGAGATCAGAGTAGGAAAAGGAAGTTCTCATCTCAGAAGTAATTATAATGCACGATCTGGAAAAGCAGTTAAACCATTCTGGTCAACAGGAATGTGGCTGCGCAGGGGAGGGGAGGTGGGGGGGGGGGGGGGGGGGGGGGGGATTTACCTTAGATGAACAGAACCTTGAATTAGATATTTGAAGGGTTCATTTGTATGTGTTGATCATATTAAATCATTACAAAAGCACATAAAAAAGTTGTTATGCCTCAGGTTCACACTTTTTTTCTCCACACACAAAAATACTTGCCATTAGGGGAAATACTCTACTCTACACTCTACATTGACTGCTAGATTGTTTATTGTGTACTGGTCTTGTTTGGAATAGTTTTGTTTAATATATTCATGCTGTCTTAAACATTCAACAAACCAGGGCACTCACACAGCCGTCTTCAGAGCCTGAGGCCATATACCGTCCACATGGCGAGATCGCTGAGGAACACGGATGGCAGCGGTTGATGTGGTTCTGGTAACGACGGACACATCTGAAAAGATGATGCACAAATGAATTATGGGTAGAAAGACTTTACAGAATTTACAGTTGCACTATGGGAACATTTAGCACAAGTTTGTAACAAACACAAACTTTACTGGAACTTTAATTTCATCACATCCCAGAGTGTCAGTACACAAGAACCCATTACATTCACACACGAGGCCCTGCAGCTCCGCAGGAACAATCCAGGAGCAGAATGTGACTGTGCAAACTTATATTTCAACTTCACTCTGGAAGAGTCGAGGAGAGGGTAGTCGATGACAGATTCCTCCCTCGTGCACCTTCCGTGTTGTTTCATTTGGTTTGCAGCAGCTTGAAATGTCGTTATGACGGTATTTAAAGTGAGCTGAGCTTCTGCTCTGTATAAACTGGCATGTGGGCAGGGCTTTGGCCTGATCTGGTTTGAACATGTTTTTGACAGGCACATGCTAACATCATTACACTGGACCAAAAGTAGGTCAAATTCACTGGTAGACATTAGGAAATGTGATATTCCCAGTATTGGTGAGTTCATGAAACATAGACGGTGTGGACACTGGGGAACACGTTCCTTCATTCGGTCTCACCACTTTATAGGTGAGGAACTCCTTTGAAAGTGAGGCCTTTTTTTCAGCAGTGTTCTCTTTCTTCTTTCCTGAAAGGTGTTTGCCTGATTTTTCCACTAAACTGCTGACTCCTCAAATTGCCTTTACAACCCTCAGAAGAGTGGCCGCAAATGAAAACCTCAATAAATCCAGTACGTTCCAATGAAAATGGCTCTAAAGAAAAAGCAAAAACGGCTGAGTGGAGATACAGCTGCACTTGCAATTTTTATACTTCTACTGTCAAATACTGCAGCTGCATTGATTGTGGACCAGATGATGGTCTTACCTGGGCTCACTATAAGATAAACTTAGATGGGGCCCCTTATGCCCGGATCTCTCTTTTTCCATAATTAAATGTGGGTTCGGGGGCCCCCGCCCACCTTAGGCTTGGCACAGCCAACCCATTTGAGCTCTCCTCCCCCATTGGTGGTCCTGACAGTGACATGCAATTAAAACCAAGGCCTTAAGTGAAGAGACTGACAGATGTCAGTTTGGTCATTAAAACCCATTTTAGAATACCAACAGTGAAGTCAAGTCAAAAACCATGACTGCTGAAGACAAGTGACACAACACACAACAACAATAGACAAGTGCAGTCATTTGTCGGACACCAGTCACTCAGGTGCAGCAGGATGGATGAGACTCCTCTGTATCTAAATCCCAACGAGTGCACGTTGACTCTGAGGTCAACAGCAGAGCTGACACAAGCTTTCTCTGTTGCACTGATAAGAAGCAGTCCAACAGGTTGAAGTAAACACTCTTCACTTTTCTAGGTCAGGATCTAGATCTCCCGTCTGACAAACTAAACTATAACACACACTCGTGTCATTAAATCCGCACTCCAACCAGGGTTAGTAATAAGGTCGTACCACTTTAAGACCAGCTTTAGTCCTGAAGAGGTCAGTGTGAGTACAGAGAAGGCCCAGACACACACACACAGAAGGAGAGTGATGACTGTCTGGCATTTGCCTAATGACTAACACAGCCTGCACTGACAGAGGGGTCGGAACTTTACTGAATCCACCTGGGTCTTCTGTGTTTGTCATCAAAGTAATCAGTGGATTAATCATAGCTCTGGATTCCCAGCCAATGTGTTCTACCTCGTTTAATTGTGTCAGTGCAAATCAGGTGAAAGGTTTGGTTGTTTTTTCTTTTTCTGTTTGCTATAAAAAGCTTAATCAATGGCTGCACGGTGTTAAACGGTTCACTTGTTTGATTTGACCATAGACATGAACAAAAGGGATCTGTGTCCAGGGTGAAGCCCACCCTGACCTCGACAGCTGCTGGGTTATTCTCTACCCCCTGCTGTGATAAGGATTAATCTATTTAGTAAATTATTGTAGCATGAATTTATAGGCCAATGGATGTCCCAGAAAATTTCAGGGAAAGAGAGAAGATGTGTTAGCTGTTCTTTCATCCTACCAAGTCATATTTGCACAAATCATTTAGATGATGAATGGATCAAGAAATGAATGAGGTTTAAAAACAATAAACTGTAATTAATCCTGTGGTTTAAATACATTTCTGGAACCCCCCCTATGTATTTCTTTACAAACCATATAATTTGCACACTGTGGTTAATGAGTATGTTTTTACTCCAAAATCTTACTGAGTTTGTTTGGTTATTTTTTCTCCAAACATCTTCCTTGTCAAGTCCTGACAAAGAGCACTCACACAAACAACTTACGTAAGCTTTTATTCATGCCACAATGTGTTCCAAGAATTTTTACAGGTTATTTGGTTGTTATTGTGTATGCAAGAAGTGCCAAATTAAGTAGAGAGTAAAATTCAGAAGACTGACAAAATTAAATATTGACACTAGAGCACAAAGCACACACGCTGATGCCAATCCTCAGAACATAGGCCTTACCTTTAACTCTGCACGGATATTAATCAGACAGGAAAAGGGGTTTAGACGCAATCTGGAATGAGGAGGTTAGCATGGAAGCAATCGCAGACATGAAAAGATGAAATACACAACAACGTGTTGTTCTGGGCCAAAAAGAACATTTTAAAATCCCAGAGAGCCCGGTTGAATTATCCTCCTTATATGGATGTCATCAGCTAAAGGCCAAAACAAAAGAAATTCTTTGCTATGTACCTTGGAAACGGAACAAATGCAGATTTACTCATTAACTTAGGAATGTTTGTCTGTGAAAAAGCAACTGAGGTAATTCAAATTTGACTTCATGTCATAGAAGAAACTTTGTTTTCGGACCCTGAAAACACCTGAGCCAGAATTTGGAGAAAGAAACAATCTTCTGTACCCTTTTGTGTATTTTTTAGGATAAATATTATCCACATTAAGCAGAAGTTTCTGCCCTTCATGATTTTAACTTATGAATTATTAAATATTAAAATAATTTGACAGCCCTAGTTTATTTACATGTATTATGAAATGTAAACATGGTCATACTTCTACACTAGTTGGATACTGGAATTTTGTTGTGGTATTACCTATCTGGTTTCTGTTTTCATCGTTTTCCTGGTTACAATTACCAAGCAATTACTTTCGAACAGATTTAGAATATGGAAAGTGTTTGAATTTAGGCTTTATCTCCCATTTACATTGTGTATTCAAATGCAGTTTAATTAGGTATATATATACTAGGTTTCAGTACTTAATTGTCTTTGAACAGTCCTGTGATGATAACCAGGGTTGTGTTTCACTCCTAAGCAGTATCTTTCTGAGGGTTTTGTTAAACGGTCACGGCCTGTTCCTGTTTTCACCTGATTTTCTCATCTGTTGTGAAATGATCAAAAATCCAACAGACAGATTTAGGTCCTACCTCAGTGTCCGCAGGTCCCAAAGCTTTACACCATCAGTGACTGCACTGGTGAGAAAGAGGTTGTACGAATCCGGCGCTTGTGTGCTGAACATGGAGCCCTGTAAACACATACAAATCTGTAAATCAGTTTGTTATTTGTTTTGGTTTGAGTATCTTTAGGATGGCTACCACATCTTAGAAAACAAGATGTCTAAGTTGTCCTGGGGTGTTGAGTGAAGCTGAGTTGGCTACAACTCTAAGGCTGTTGAAGTTGAAGAAACTAAAAAACAAACTCTAGTGGAACTTCCTATACGTTTAGGAGTAAAATCAGGAGCTGACAGGAGAAGATAACGGCGGCGCTGTCACACTGAAGGCACCGAGGAACTTGATGATTAAATTAGTGTGTGTGGGTTCATGTGCGTGGGTGTGTGTGTGTGTGTTTAGGGGAGCACAAGCGAGCTGTGGTTGAGGTGTTCTTTGTTTAGATTTCCATTAAGAGTGTGAGAACGGTAGACTGAGAGGGCATTTCCAGTTCCATTTTCCGAGAACTTCTCTGCTCTGATGAGTTCCAGGTGAAGTTTGAAGACAAGGCAATGGAAAATTGAAGTGGGAAAAGCTGCTTCAGAGGCTGCAGCTCCCTGACGTTTGGACATTTCAGGACGAGAAGCGCGGTGGAGAGAAGACTGATGTTATGTGTGCATTTTCCAGGCAGGGCCAATCCCTCTGATCCGTAGGCATTAACCCTACGCTTCCTCGGGCCTCTGGGCACCCAGGCAGAGGAACCCGCGGTGACGCAACGGCCAAGCTGAAATAACAGTGCAGCCTTTTCGCACTGTTTGAATCACAATGTCTGACGTGACGAAGATCAGATAACTGATGTTGGAAAATAGTCAGCTGTTCATCCTAGTTGACCAGGTTAATGCACTTAATCCTGTCTACTAGCCGGAGTTTGTCCAGTTAATCCAGGCTGTATATTATGTCACAGGCTTTAAGTACTCACATAGGAAAAACACAGGAATGATTGAAGTCAAAACCACACGGTCAAAGAGTTTGGTTTTAAGTGCCGAGGGAAGGACTTTTGACAAAAGGTGAGCAGACTAATTCCATACAGAAGAAGAGATTGATGTAGTTATTCCCAAACAGAAATAGAAACAGCCTCACCTTGTTCTGTTCGATGCAGTGGGCAGCTCTGCTGTGGGCGTTATGTATTCGTGAGACGAACGTACTTTTGTTCATGTCAAATACCTGAAGAGATCGATCTGAAGTGCACAGCAGGACGATGTCTGACAGGGAAATTAAGACAAACTGCTCTCTGAAAGCTGCAAGATGAGCAATGTTGGATGAATAAGTAGCTCAAATAACAGTTTCTGTCTGGAGCAAATATGATTTTATCACTTTCTAAGTCATATTTGAAGCAATGCTTTTGTCAATCTAAATTGCATAAATATTGAACATTTTAGCGCAAAGTGTAAAGTAAGTCCCCAAAAAGACAGAGGGTGAAGAATACCTGTGATCATTTGGGGAAAAACACAAGGCCACAAAAGTATCTGCTCCATACACATAGTGTACTGTACTGTACACACTGTGAGTGCAAATAATTAACAACAGGTTCTCAGCCCTTTAAAAAAACCTAGTAGCCGTATATGCTGAATATGACATACATTGTAAACCCTAACAAGGGGCTCCAACACAGACATTCCTAAAAAATGAAAGACATGGAAATATTTTACAGGTTAAATCCAGCAGCGAGAGCCTGCAGGCCCCATGACAAGAGTACACGAAGCACAGACAGGTTCCTCTGGTCGCCCTGGAATTCGTCCAACCAACATTAACATAGTCAAACTAATGAATTCAGTTCAGCTTTAAATGCAGTCTAGACTGCAACAGTTCTTGTTACATTAACAATAGAAGCAAAAAAAAAAAAAGGATACGAGAGAGGAAATCATTAACTGCAGACAGGGCTGTGATGTCGGTCATTGATGCTGCTGTAAAGCTGCCAGCCATTTCCACTCTACTCCTCTGCTGATATCTTATGGACAAAAGAGGAGAGGGAAGAGCATTATGTACAGAAAGCAGTGTCGACAACGACCAACCAGATCTTACCTCTTGATTAATTACCTCTTGATGTCATCCATTGTGTCGTCCACATGATAAAGGTACAGGTATAAGGATGGCCCAGAAGCAAAAAGCAGGAATTTGTCGAGATAGTAAAACTGAGCTCCTCTGATGGGTTTAGGGAATAAACTGTTGCCCTAAAGAAAACAGAGAGATACATATAAAAAACATTAATCTTAGGTTATAAACTAGAGAGACTTTTTTTTATTTGAGAATGTTGATTAATGTCAATTTATTATGATTAATTATAGTCATGATTAATCATTACACCTAAGCATAAACATTTTTGGAAAATAGTTACATACAAATATATCTGTACATATGTTAATATATTTTAATAACAGCATTGATTGTTTTAAAAAAAAAAAGGTCTGCAGTGAATGACGAATGCAGCATTCCGTGGAGTTTTTTCCACAGTTCTAATATTGTAAAACCCACAAATTCTCTCTTTTGGCTCATCGCAATGCTAAGAAATGTTTTTTTTAAACTATGTGGAAAAAGTAGGAAGGAAAATCTGTGATGCAAACGAAGAGAGTTCACTGAGGAGAAGAAGAAACCCTACATGGTGGTTATTTCTAACCTCAGAGGAAAAGCTGGAGTCAGACAAGGTAAATAAGAAAAACCAATGACCTGGCCTGTCACGTTTGACTAGGTCATGGCTTCAAAGCCAAACTCAAACTATTTGACTGCAAATTTATTATAAAAAAATGCCATTAATATGTTCCATTAATTTGTCAGGAATATTATTTGGTTCCATTTTTTTCTCTCAGGAGTTTGGGATGAGCCAGAAATGTTGTGAATTGTGAACTCTTGTCCTTTGGTAAAGTTTTTGAACTGCAAATGGCTAAAAGCGGCAGACTGAGCCAAATTAATGACAAGGTCACTGCCAGATTCAAACTGGGATCATGACGAGACAACTCATATTCTAAAGAACAAAGCTTCGTTTCTTACTGTGACATGGAAAAGTGGGTATATAATTCCGACTTTCCTATAAAACGATAACCCATGTCTGCATATGATCAGAATTTTGGATCCTTTAAGTCCTCGGACAATATGAACGTTTTTCCCCCTCGGCCAAGAAACACATCATTTATTACCTCGATCAATTTGGCATTCCTTTTTTTCCTGTTTTAGGAAAATTAAATCTAAGAAAATCTCAAGTCTAACGTCCTTTTCAACGTTGAAAACAGGTTTACCCCTACAGACCCTCTACAACAGAGGTCCACCTTTACTGAGCTCATATCTTTCAACTGCATTAATCCTCCATATTATGACAGGCTGCAGGCTGTCCATTATTGCACACGGATAATCCGGACGTGTTTATACTTCGGAAGCTCCTTACAAGTGGACACAGTAGTGACTGTAATTTTATTGACAATAAAAATGAAATTGTTGTCTTCTTTACAAACTGCAATAATGAGGGTGGGGAACAATTCCAGCAGCCACATCTGCCTTTGAAAACAAACGGGAGGGAAAGCATGTGTCTGTAGTTATTTTGCTTCACTTCTGACACAATATGAGGGAGGACATTTTTGTAATGTGAGGTCACTCTGACTGCTCCACATTTCCCTGCTTTTTCATGGTCGGGACTTGGTTATTCAAAGTCAAGGTTAGGAATGTGATGTTGATGGCAACGGGCAACCAAAATAAACAAAAAACATTCAAAGAGAAATTTAAAAAATGAGAAGATTTGAATGAATGACTATGTTTACCATGATAATGGCAGGCTCTGACCTGCCTTGGGTCCAGATGCGTAGTGAGTGGTCTTCTGATGCACTCAACCACCACTGTCTGTTCAGGCTCCAGCTGACGCTGCTCACTGGCCTGTCGTGCCCTGTGTTCACACAGAGGTCAGAAGTGAAGCTGAAGCGCACACAGAGTGTGAATGCAACATTTACTTTTATGGTGCTGTTCAGAGAGAGGCAGTGTGATGGGAAGAGTCTGCCAGTGACCCACTGCTTTAAGGCCACTTTAACGACTCTCTTATCTCTGCCGCCCTCCAGTGGACAACCGAGATAAGACAAACTCATCGAAGTAAGACTTATTTTAAGTAATAGCAGCTTGCTGTGCTCTCATGATTTACCTGTAAAGACAGCAGGGTTGCCATTAAGTGAAGATTTGTACAATGACACAGAGTTGTCACCAAGACCACACAGGATTTGCTTTCCGTCACCTTGAGAACAAAAAAAAAAACAAAACAGTTAACCTCTATTCCTGTATGCTTACACCACATTTTACCAGCGTTTTTTTTCTATAGTTACAAGTGAAAGCTATGTTTAAGTTTTTTTTATTCATTAGAACTGTTGTGTTTGTGTTGTCTCACCTGAATACTGAAGGCAGTAAACTGGTTTGTTGGCAGCACTTAGATGAGTACGTGGAGTAGTCGGTGCTGCAATGTCGACTGGATAGTCTCGGAGAAGTGAACCTCTAAAACATAGGGAAAAAAGCAGAATTAGTATGAAAAATAGCTGCGTTTCAGTCTTTAAAAATACATTAGAGATGTGACCGTTTACATGTTTTTCTTGGCCTTTTTGCAGGACAGGGTCTTCGGGTTGTTTATTTTAGGTAAGAACATAGTTGTACTGAAAAGACAAACAGTAGGAAGTGTTGAAAGTAAAATGCATACAACAATATTTCATGCATTGTTTGAATAAGAAGTTGTTTGTTTGTTTTTTCAAGATTTAGATATAAAAATGATCACGATATAGGGCCACACATCTATCTGTCTGTCTGTCTGTCTGTCTGTCTGACTGTCTATCTATCTATCTATCTATCTATCTATCTATCTATCTATCTATCTATCTATCACATAAGAGTGCTCATACAAATTGATGAAGAAAACTAGTTACCTGTTACCACTAGTTCACTAGCTCATGAACTTTATTTTAATTTGATTTTTTATGAAGCCACAGTTTCCTTTGTAAACGTACCGCGGGGCAGCAGTGTATCCAGATGACTTCACTTTGGAGTGGAAAATCAGAGGCCGCTCTTTTGTTCCTGCATTGTGGAAATGATAAAATGATAAAAAAAAAGTCATACAAATCTTAATGACAGGAAAGAAAAATATACTGCAAAGACTTCCATTTATAAATCCACCATTGTCATGGCAGGATTACATAAACACTTGTAAATTAGATTCAATAATAAGGAAAAAACTCCTCATTACAGCGCTGTGGTTCAAGTTCACATGGGTCTGAGGGACCTGTCTGTGTAGTAATGACAAATGCAACAGTCAGTAACAACTCAGCATCCAACTTTCTCAAAGTGCCTCTGCAGTTTAACACTTAAATCAAATGCTCTTTCGTTATTGATTTGACCAGTTATTCAGTCATTAAAGGTCGTTTCTCTCATATGTCTCCACTCACGCAGTACTAACACAACAACAACATTGATGGAAAGTAGTTCCAATCATCAAACTCCAAAGGAAACATATGGAACTGATTACTTTTTCATTTTAACTCAATTTCAACTCTTCTTGTCTGGGAACGTTTTTATCTCTGATGAACAATGTCACCTGTTAATTTGATTAATTTATATAATCAATGTGTTTTTGTTTTACTATTATTTGGAGTGTGAAGCTTGAAAGCTAAAAGCAGCTTCTATTCCAGGATAAATTTTACAGTTTGTACACAATTAAACATTTTTGGCCGATAGAATCCCTTGGTGTTTCCTAACAG